TCCTGACAGTTGGCCGCACGGCAGGCACGAGCGCTAAGAGAAGTGTCAGGAGCATCTGGAGGCGCTGATCACTCTTTTCCGGGCGGAAGAGTGCGCGGAGATCATACCTGGTGAGCCTATAAACCCTTGTGTCATGTCTGATTTCTTTAATCAACCACTATGTTTCTTTAACTATGCTTGTTCTCCTGACTGCACTGCAGGTGTCGACAAGAAAAAGGCAGTCAAGGAAGTGCGACTGCTAATCCCCGTCCTTTCACGTGCACCGAAGGGTGAGCGAGGATTCCACACTGGTCTTACCGCCATGCTCAAGACAGACGACTGGCAGCAGCACTACCCGAACCTGGTGCGGTTGTGGGTGGCGGTCGCGGTCCTGCCGTTGAGCACAGTCGAATGCGAGCGCGGCTTCTCGCGGCAGAACGTCATTAAGTCCTGGCAGCGAGGCAGCCTCAAAGATGCTCGGCTTAGTGACTTAATGTGCATGTCGCTGCTCCGTTACAAGCCCAACTGGGACGAGGTTGTTGAGATCTGGCGTAACTACAAGAAGCGGAAGCCGCTCAACACCTGCAACATCGCTAGGCAGGAGGCTGATAGGAGGCGTCGGGGGAAGGAGGAGGCAGAGGCAGGAGACCAGGCCAACCCTGTAGACCTAGATGAGGAGGAGGACGTAGGTGCAGCAGCAGACGGTGGTGATGAGGACGCGATGTGGTATTAGTGGTTGTTTGTTTCTATGCAATTGCTGCTAGTGTTCGCTTGCTGAACTATAATAAATAGTATCTGCCTCTTAATTGTTCTCAACACTGATGAGAAAGTTTTTTTTATTAGACGACCCTGATTTTTCAGGGTGTTTTCATACCACGACCCTGACAGAAAGTTTTTCTTTTAAGACCAACACTGACCAGAAAGTGTTGACAAAAACCAATCTGAGGCCCTGCTGTGTATTCAGATTAAGAATTCTACACGGCCTGGAAAATCATACGAACCTAAAACGCTTATCTTACTGATCAGATGAGAACAAACACAGATTCTTAGAAATCAGATGAATACAAAAAAACAAGTCTTAAACTCAGACCATCAGACCAAATTGGTCTGATAACGAGAACCCTGCTACACAAACCTTACCCTACATTCTGTACGTCACACTCTTACCTTTAATTCACCATTGTATAAAACTAGCGTCTGCTGCTACTTCATCAGAAAATATAACACATCCTAGAGTTTTCCCCATACCTGCACCGATTACAATAACAAGCTACACTACATTCCCTTGCAAGTGATTTTCATTCTCTCATTATAGTCACACCAGCACCATTATCGCCTCATCCGGTATTCGTCACGCATCAACAAATCAGTCCTAAGATGTTGTGCTTTAGAGGAGAGGAGCTTACTATACTGCTCGCTGTTGTTGCCGCGCCAAGACCACCAAAGACTTGACTCAACTCAAATCAGCAGGTGCAGAACTGGGCACTCTTAACCCTCCCACTCCCTCCTGCCCTTGAGATGCTTGTGTTGTTATGAGTTATCTTTTACTCAACTCACAACTGCAGGAGCAGGACTGGGCACTCTCCCCCCTCGCACTACCTCCTGCCCTTGAGATGCCTGTGTTATGAGGAGTCTAAGTTTTACTCAACTCACATCTGCAAGAGCAGGACTGAGCACTCTTCCCCCTCCCACCCCTCCTGCGATTGAGATGCTGGTGTTACGATGAGTCTATTTTAACTCAACTTAAATCGCAGGAGCAGGACTGGGCACTCTTCTTCCTCGCACTACCTCCTGCCCTTGAGATGCCTGTGTTGGCTCTGCTCCTTCAACTTCCACTCCCTTTCCTCCCCCTCCCCTTCCTTCCCCTCCTCCACCTTCTCCCTTTCCTCCTCCCCCCCTTCCTTCCCCTCCACCTTCTCGCTCTCCTCCTCCCTTTCCTCCATTTATTCCCCCTTCTACATTTCCTCCTCCTCCTTCTCCCTCCCCTCTTCTTCCTCCACCTACTCCTCCCTGTGCCTCTCCTCCACCTCCTCCACTTCCTCTCTTTGCCTCTCCTCTACTTCCGCCATCCTCCCTTCCACCTTCACCCACCAATCTCTGCAGCTGCTGCACCTGATTGGCCAGCGCCGCCAGCTGGCGCTGCAGCGACGCCATGTCAACAGATGTCACGTCAGCAGATGCTACGTCAGCAGATGCCACGTCACTCGGCCCCGTGGTGATGTTGTCGCGAGTGGATGACGTGTCAGCTGTAGCTGTTCTCGCACCTTCCTGGTTCTTCCTCTCACACTCACTCTCACTCCCACTCTCACTCCCCTTCCCTGCAGATGCCTCTTCTGCTTGCAGCTCCTGCTTCAGGGGAACACGGCACGGGATATAAGCACATGAGTAGACATCAAGGTAACCAGCCTGCAGTCACACTCACACCCACTCGCACTCCCCTTCACTGCAGATGCCTCTTCTGCCTGAAGCTCCTGCTTGAAGGAGGGGAGCAGAGGTTATGGGAACACATGAGCAGAGCATATGAGTAGATGTCTGAATGTTTCCCCTCCACAGTCACTCCCACTCTCACTCCCACTCGCACTCCCCTTCACTGCAGATGCCTCTTCTGCCTGAAGCTCCTGCGTCAGGGAAACATGCAGAAACAACATGAGAGGGAAGTAGATCCCTCACTCCCACTCTCACTCCCACTCTCACTCCCCTTGACTGCAGATGCCTCTTCGGCCTGAAGCTCCTGCTTCAGGAAAACACCGCAAGGCATAGAAGCACATGAAGCAGAGGGCATGGGAGCACATGAGTAGACCACATGCCTAGATGCCCCAAGATTTCCCCTATAAAGTCGCTCCCAACCTCACGCTCCGTCACTGCGGCTACATCTTCTGCTTGCAGCTCCTGCTTCAGGAAAACACAGCAAGGCATAGAGGCACATGAACGGGCATGAGAGCAGAGGGCACTGGAGCACACAAGTAGACCTCAAGGTTTCCCCTCCTCACTCCCACTCCCACTCTCACCCTCACTCCCCTTCACTGCGGCTACCTCTTCTGCTTGCAGCTCCTGCTTCAGGAAAACATGGCAAGGCATAGAAACACGTGGAGGGGTATGAGAGCATACGAGCAGACCTCAAGGTTCCCCCTCCCCACTCCCACTCCCACTCTCACTCCCCTTCACTGCGGCTGCCTCTTTGTGCCTGCAGCTCCTGCTTCAGGGAAAGACGGCAAGGCACAGAATCACATGAAGGGCTGCCTCATCGCACTCTCCTTCACTGCGGCTACCTCTTCTGCTTGCAGCTCCTGCTTCAGGAAAACACGGCAAGGCATAGAAGCACGTGAAGGGACACGAGCAGGGCACACATGCACACATGCACACATGCACACATGCACACATGCACACATGCACACACATGCACACATGCACACATGCACACACATGCACACATGCACACACATGCACACATGCACACATGCACACATGCACACATGCACACATGCACACATGCACACATGCACACATGCACACACATGCACACATGCACACACATGCACACATGCACACATGCACACATGCACTTGCTCATCCCACATAATCCACTATAAGCCACTGATAACCCTTCCCATCCTCACAATCCCTTCCCTGGGCATATTGCAGGTCAGATTGTCAAGTCAAGGGTCCGTCCACTATACCACTTTCCATTCTGAATCAATGATACTTCCCCCAAACCACCCCCCCACACTCTCCCTTCCCATCCTCACAATCCCTGCGGAGGGCATATTGCAGGTCAGATGGTCAAGGGTCCGTCCACCACACCATGCTATTTCCGGAAATTATGGTCCGACCGTCCCACAATACCATTTTCACCCATCCCCAGCATCCATTCTGAATCAATCACGTTTCCCCCAAGACCACCCCCCTCCCCACACTCACTTTTTCCATCCTCGCAATCTCTGCTTTGGCATATTGCACAGTCAGATACACCGCTGCAAGGGGAGAGGGGAGGGGACAGGTGGGAGCAGGGGGAGAAAAGGGAAAGGGGAGAATCTGATCTGAAACGAGCGTACCACTCGACTCCCGCATTCCCTTCCCACTCCATTAACAACTCGTTCCATCCTCGCAATCTCCGCTTTGGCATATTGAACGGTCAGGTACACCGCTGCAGGGGGAGGAAGGGGGACGGAGGGGGAGGAGAGGGGACAGTGGAGGAAGGATGGGAGGAAGGAATGAATTCACGCTCTTTCCATCCTTGCAATCTCCGCTTTGGCATATTGCACGGTCAGATACACTGCTGCATGGGGAGGAAGGGGAGGGGAGAGGTGGGAGCAGGGGGAAAAGGGGAAAGGGAGAATCTGATCTGAAACGAGTGTACCACTTACTCCTGCACTCCTTCCCACTCAATCAACAACTCGTTCCATAGTCAGCCTGAAACGAGCGCACCACTCTACTCCCATACTCCCTTCCCACTTCGTGAACAACTCGCAATCTCTGCTTTGGCATATTGCACGGTCAGATACACCACTGCAAGGGCAGAAGGGAGGGAAGAGGCTGGAGCAGGGGGAGAATCTGATCTGAAACGAGCGTACCACTGTAATCCCGCACCCCCTTCCCACTCAAATCAACAACTCGTTCCATCCTTGCAATCTCCGCTTTCGCATATTGCACGGTCAGATACACCGCTGCAGGGGGAGGCGGAGTGGGGACGAGAGGGGACAGTGGATGAAGGAAGAACGTGGAATTTGAGAGGGTGAAGGCTGGATGTTCTTTCGCATATTGCACGGTCAGATACACCGCTGCAAGGGGAGAAGAAGCGGGGGGGGGGGGGGGGGGGGGGGGGGGGAAAGGGGGGAATCTTAAACGAGCGCACCACTCTAATCCCGGACTTCACAATTCTTTACACTCCCTTCACACCCCCTCCCTTCACACTCCCCCCCTCCCTCCCTCCTTCCCTGCATTCTGGACGGTGACACGCAACAGTTCCAGCGAGTTTTCCCACCCGACATGAGCGTGGTGCTGATGTCAGCATGGTGCTGATGTCAGCATGGTGCTGATGTCAGCATGGTGCTGATGTCAGCATGGTGCTCATGCCAGCATGGTGCTAGTGTTGATTCTACAGTCCATAGGGTGTTGCTACGACCAGTGTTTATACAAGGAAGGAAAGGAGCGAGTCCGAATGGTGCTGAGCTGGTGTCATATACGTGTATATTATAGAGACCATATGCGGTACTTCTACCAGTGTTTGTTTATAGCATGAACAAGGCTGCTTATAACGCACCTAGAGGGGGCATGCACGCAACGATCGCCTGCCAGATGTGAAAGTCCCAGCTGTGGGGGGAAGGAAGAGGGGAGGAGGGGGGAGAGCCAGGATATAAAACGGAATGGGATGTAGCAAGCATGCGCAATGCAGCAATCTCCTGCCAGATGTGGAATGCCCACCTCTGGGGGCAAGGAAAGCACGGGGTTGAAAGATGGAGCACCTGTGGGGGGAAGGAAGAGAGGAGGGAAGGCAAACACACCAGAGGGGACAGCAGGAGAGGAGTGATTGAGATGTAGCGCGCATGCGCAATGCAGCAATCGCCTGCCACATGTGGAAGTTTCACCTTTGGGGCCGAGGTGTGGGTGGGTGGTGAGGGGGGGAAGGAAGAGGGGTGGATGGGAAAAGCCAGGATATGAAACGGAGTGGGATGTAGCAAACATGCGCAATGCAGCAATCGCCTGCCAGATGCGGGAATCCCGCCTGTGGGGGAGCAGGCGAGGGGGAAGGCAGGGGAGCGGGCGAGGGGAAGGAAGGGGAGCGGGAGGGGGAAGGGAGGGGAGCGGGCGAGGGGGAAGAGGGGAGCAGGAGAGGGGGAAGGGAGGGGAGCGGGCGAGGGGGAAGGGAGGGGAGCGGGCGAGGGGGAAGGGAGGGGAGCGGGCGAGGGGGAAGGGAGGGGAGCGGGGAAGGAAGGACGACATAATAAGCATGTGCAATGCAACAGTCGCCGATGAAGTTTAAAGTCGGGAGAGTGCGGGGTAGTGGGGAGGGGAGAGTGCGGGGTAGTGGGGAGGGGAGAGTGCGGGGTAGGGGGGACGGGGCTTGGTGGTGGCGGTGCCATGAGAATGCTTGCAGAACCGTGAGAGTGGGGAAAGTAGACGTGATAAACGTCGAGTTTTGAGATGTCTCAAAAGGCTTGGTGGCGACACCATGAGAATGTTCTCAGAGTCGTGAGAGTGGGGAAAGATTGGGGGGGGGGGGGGGGGGGAATAAAGGGAGAAAGAGGGGGAGGAGGAAGGGGGTAGGGGGAGGGGGGAGGCGCTTACCCGAGTCGCTTCGGCTTTCGTGGCGGCACCATGAGAATGTGGAAAGATTGCGGGGAGTCGGGGGAAAGTTTGGGGAAGGTGATGAGAGGAGGTGGGAAGGGGGGGTGGGTGCGAAGGGGAAAAGGGAGGGCTTGGCCATACCCGAGTCGCTTCGGCTTGGCCGGCGGAGCCATGAGAATGTTCACAGCGACGTGAGAGTGGGTTGGAGGGGGGGGGGGAGGGGGGGGGGCGCGGGAAGGGGCGAGGTGGGGGAAGAGGAAAGGAGAGTTACCCGAGTCGCCTCGGCTTGGCCGGCGGAGCCATGAGAATGTCCGCAGCGCGCGAGATCGTCATCTTGTGGTGCGACCAGCCATTGATCGCACTGGTGCTGTCAACGCTGCTGGTGCGGCTGGTGCTGCTGTTGCCAACACTGCTGATGCTGCTGGCATTGCTGTTGCAGTCTCCGCCGCTGCTGCTACTGCTGCTGAATCTCGCCCTGTTTTTGCATCCGCTGCCATTTCTCCCGCTGCTGTTGCTAATGGTGCTGCTGACTAGCCTGTGCAGCTGGGAATATAGACTTGGCGATTCGCGCAACTGGCTACTTAAGCTCGATGTAGCGTGAGACGTTCTATTATGAAAGCCCGGGTATCTTTGGAACGGGGAAGAATGGAAACTCGGGGTGCTGAGGGCGGTTGATGAGAAAAAGTGATTTACGGACGACTGGATCGACGGTGGAGATCTGTCAAGCGACGGGGCAACGCGAGACCAGATGTGTTGCCAAGTCGCACGTCGCATGGCGACACATCTGCGACTTCTTAGACTAATCGTCTGCCTTAGAAATAAGGAGCAAGTCTAGAAGGCTGGAAATTAACTACAGTATTTCTCATTTGCTAGTCAGAGAGCAAAAGCAAATTGCTCGTGGATTGCGGACAGAGTACGCTTGGGTACAGTACGGTTGCAGGCCCCTCCGTCACTGATAGTGAGGGATGTGAGCTGAACAAATTCGTTGTACGCGATTGAAAATTTCCGCAATTAACAACAGTGTTAGACTTTCGATTGATTATTTCCACCTACGGTATTAAATGCAAGTTGTACATTATTGTAAAAAATGTTAGAACTAAACAGGGGGTTTCATGGCTAAATTAACCGCCGAAGCCGTACAGGGTTCTGCCTTGGCGTTTCAAAGCATAAACCACATCCATGGCGGTAACCGTCTTTCTCCGCGCGTGCTCCGTGTAGGTCACAGCGTCGCGAATGACATTCTCAAGAAACACCTTCAGCACGCCGCGAGTCTCTTCGTAGATTAAACCGCTGATACGCTTGACGCCGCCGCGACGAGCGAGACGCCTGATAGCCGGCTTGGTGATGCCCTGAATGTTATCGCGAAGAACCTTCCTGTGACGCTTCGCGCCTCCTTTTCCAAGGCCCTTGCCTCCCTTGCCGCGTCCCGACATGGTGATTAACGGATATTAACCGCACACAAAGACACGCTTGAAAGTCTTGAAGAAAAGCTGATCCTCGAAGTGCGACGCGATTGGAACTCAATCAGGCTCAAGGGCAAGGAGATGTGGAGCTCTGCAATTAAGTCTTGACGCCTCTCTTCTATCTCCGCAATGGATTTGAAGCGAAGGAACTGGAAACTAGACTTGGAGAGAACTGGAATGGTAGAACTCAGGAGCGATTTACTGCTCCTTTATTCCAGACTTCTGCGGCTAGGGAAGCGGGACGGGCTACGTAGAAGCAATGGGGTGGGTGGGGTGGGCTGTGGATGGTGCGATGCGTTTGGGTGTTGCGTGGTTCGGGGTGGTGATGGGTTCGGCCAGCCTGTCTGGTTTGGCTGAGCAGTGCTGTGGTGTGTCTAATGTTTTGGTGGCGCTGGAGATGGTCCGGCGCGTTGTTCGGTGGTGTTGAGTTTCTTGGTCGTCGATGAGAAGTTTTGACTAGGCCTGTCGACGGCTAACCCTGATCCGCGTCGATCCCAAAACTTTGTAACAACGATATTTGATTGGTCGACAACCTAGACAGCCTGTTGAGAGCTGCACCCGACGAATTGGTTTCGCAAGGTTACCACGCCATGCACAGCCGCAAGCACTACGCCGTTGGATTTGATCGGACGATTCACAAACAGGCAGAAGCGATAGGTACCTGAAACTTTCATTGACGGTTAAACGAATGTCATGGCATTTAATCGACGGCCATTAGAGAACGCTTCGATCTGTCACCCAGTCTCCCATTGGCTCAGTTTGACAGCACAAATAACTATTTCGAGCCTTGCAGCAATTCCCGAGAACCCACACACCACGCACGCAACTCCAGCCAGACTCTTCCCCAACCATTTCAAAGTGTTGAAATACGTCACTGCCGCAACTCTCTATTCCATCACAAGCTTCCACTCTCGCTTTTCATAACTTCGTTTGTTTCCTAGTTCAACGCTCGTGACAACACCGCTTTGTAGCGCTTCATCCGGCGGCACTTTCCAACGCTTTCTTACCCTGTCAACCACTTATTCGTCGATTAACTCTGCGTTAACATGGCGCCGAAGGTAGAAGGGGAGCAGAAGGCCGCGAAGAAGGGACCCAAGAAGGAGCCCGCCGCTAAGAAAGCCGTTCCTGCGGGGAAAAAGCCCATCGGCGACAAGAAAGAGAAGAAGAAGGCTCGTAAGGCCGTCACGGAAACGTACAAGATCTACATCTACAAGGTCCTGAAGCAGGTTCATCCAGACACGGGTATCTCGTCCAAGGCCATGTCGATTATGAATTCTTTTATAAATGATATTTTCGAGAAGCTTGCGACGGAGGCGTCGAAGCTCGCGCGGTACAACAAGAAGCCGACGATCACGTCTCGCGAGATCCAGACGGCTGTTCGACTGACGCTGCCTGGAGAACTGGCCAAGCACGCTGTGTCTGAGGGAACAAAAGCCGTGACCAAGTTCACGAGTGCATAGGCTCTTAGTTTCTTGTTTCTGGCATGTTAAATACTAATTTCGCTTTGTAGCAATGTTGATAATAGCTGAATAATAAGTTTCTCGTAATTCCTGTCACATGCTTTCGATGGGCTTATTGGCAGTGCTCATTTTCTCGTTTGGTTGGGGCGGGGCCAGGGCCAAACAAGCCAGTTTTTGGTCATGTGGATGTTTGGCTGATGTCTGATAACTACCCACGTCTGCAAAACATGTTTTAGAAATTCAGTTCTCTAGGCTAGTAGCTGGAAAACTGCTTTTTCCCTGGCCATGGCTCACTGAAGACTGCTCAAGTGGATGCACTTGACCAGGCACAAGGTTTCCTCCACATGTTTGCCCTCCATTCCTGTTCAATACTAATAAGACCGCCGAGGCATGTTGACATTGCTTTTGAGCAAACACTGGATGGGCCCTGGCAATATTCTAACTGCCCATCAGATGTTTATAATACTGTACCGTATGAATGACTGCCTGACACTTTTTTCGTTCACAGGTACCGTATAAACTCCATGGTATCTAACCTTGCGAATGAAAATTCCAGGCGTTATACACCCCCACCTTCCCTTCCCCTACTTTCCTCCATACACCTTCATTTTTTGAAGCCCTGCCCTGCCCTACCTGCGCTTTCCTCCCTCCTTGGTCCTCCTCCCCTTCCCTCCTTTCCTCCTCCGTCCCCCTAGGAATAGAGGAGCCATTAAAACCCCGCCTCTCCTCTCCTCCTCCATCCCTGCTCATTCCACCCTACCTGCGCATTCCTCCCTCCTTGGTCCTCCTCCCCTTCCCTCATTTCACTCCTCCCTCACCCACTCCCCCATCCCTAATTGAGGTGCCCAGCTCTCCTCTCCTCCTCCATCCCCCTTATTTTCTTGAAAGCCCTACCTGCGCCTTCCCCCCTCCTTCGTCCTCCTCCCCTTCCCTCCTTTCCCTCCTCCCTCACTCTTCCCACCTTCACTCCCCCCTCCCGCCTGACTCATTTTAAGCAGCTTCGCTTCAAGAGCCTCAATGCGTGCTTCAGCCGCCCTCCGCTGCTCTTCCTCCTCCGCTCTGCCCTCTCCCTTCCGTCGCCCTCCCTCCTCTCCTTGTGGCTTTGCCCCTTTGGGTTGTTGGGGATGCTGAGAAACAAATGGAGAAACAACACTTGCCTTCCCTGTTGTTGTTGTTGTTGCTGCGGCTGTTCCTGCTGCTGCCGAAACATCAAGTGTAGCAGGGCTGGTAAATGATCCTCCTTCAACAGAATCACCTCCAATATAATCACTTGCAACGCTTTCAACTGTCACACTCTCAACTGTCACATTCTCAACTGTCACCTCCACTTCGCCCATTATCACTCCCACTTCCCCCTCCTCCTCCTCGTCCTCTTCCTCTTCTTCCCCTCCCTCCTCCTCTTCTTCCCATTCATCACCTTCCTCCTCTTCCTCCCATTCCTCCTCTTCCTCCTCCTCCCACTCCTGCTTCTCTTTCCCCATCCCTCCTCCCTCCTCACCTCTCCACGTCCCCTTCACCCCTTCCCCCTCCATCCCACCACTCCTTCCCCTCTCCCCCCGACCCACCTCCCCCCCTCCCCTTTCTCTCACCCCCAATCTCGATACAGTCACCCCCTTTTCCTTCACCCTCAGCCTCCCACTCCCACCACCCCCCCCTCCTACCCCCACCTCCCCTTCCCTCCCTCCTGCCGCCATATCTCTTAGAACCTTCCTCTTAATCTCCTCTACTCGCGCCCTTAGCTCCTTATCCTCTCTCAACCTCTGCAGCCAAACCTCTTTCTTCTCCTGCAAATTCCTCTCCTGCAGATTTTTCTCCTGCAAATTGCCTTTTCCCGCAACCGCATTCCCCTGCACTTTGTCCTCCCTAGTCTTCTTACCGCCCTTACTCCCTGCACCCTGTTCCTCCCAACCCTCCTCAGCCTCAGCCTCAGCACCTTGCACCTTATAGCTTCTGGAATGCGTGTCTCCCTTGTCTTCAGCAGCCGTTTCTTCCTGACCCTCCCCCCTCCTCATTGTCTCACCCTCCCCTTCTTGACGTCCTCTTTCTTCTGCCATCACCCCTGTTTCCACCACTGCTGCTGCCACTGCTGCTGGTGCTGCCACTGATGGGGCTGCCACTGCTGCTGTTGCTACTACTGCCTTTGGTGCTGCGCTTGCTGCTGTCAAAACAGAAGCATCACTGCTCTTACCAGAACCGCCCTTAACGGAACTGTCTTCAATGGAACTTCTTTCAACAGAACCGCCTTCAACGGAACTGCTCTTAGCACAGTCGCTCGGCAGCAGAACAGAGTCAGCAGCAGATGCTCCAATGAGCTTGCAGGAAACGGCCTTCTCCTTCTGACCGAATCGGATGGGGACTGAGCGATTGTACTGCTGGATGAACCTGATGGGGGGAAGGGGAAAGGGGGAGGCAGGGAGGGAAGAGGAGGGGGTTTGGTGGTGCGAGGAGGGGAAGGAGGAATGAGAGAGGGGAATCAAAGTTAGCAGCGCGGCCGCAGATCAGCTTGCATGAAACGGCCTTCTCTTTCTGGCCGAATCGGATGGGGGCTGAGCGATTGTACTGCTGGATGAAACTGATGGGGGTTTGGGTGGTGCGAGGGGTAAGGGGGCGCGGGGAGGGTAGAGGAGGGGAAGGAGGAGTGAGTAGGTAGAGTGAGAGTCAGCAGCAGGGGCGCCAATCAGCTTGCAGGAAACAGCCTTCTCCTTCTGACCGAAACGGATGGGGGCTGATCGATTGTACTGCTGAATAAACCTGATGGGGGGGGGGGGGTGGGAACGGAGGGGGAGGCAAGGAGGGGAAGGAGAAGTGTGATGTAGGGAGCGAGCCAGCAGAGCAGCAGGGACGCCAATGAGCTTGCAAGCAACAATCTTCTCCTTCTGACCGAATCGGATGGGGGCTGAGCGATTGTACTGCTGAATAAACCTGATGGGGGGGGGGGGGTGGGAACGGAGGGGGAGGCAAGGAGGGGAAGGAGAAGTGTGATGTAGGGAGCGAGCCAGCAGAGCAGCAGGGACGCCAATGAGCTTGCAAGCAACAATCTTCTCCTTCTGACCGAATCGGATGGGGGCTGAGCGATTGTACTGCTGAATAAACCTGATGGGGGGTGGTGGGGTGGGGGTTAAGGGGGCGGTGGGGAGGGTAGAGGAGGGAAGGAGGAGTGAGTAGGTAGAGTGAGAGTCAGCAGAAGATGCGCCAATCAGCTTGCAAGAAACGGCCTTCTCCTTCTGACCGAAGCGGATGGGGGCTGAGTGATTGTACTGCTGGATGAAGCTGATGGGAGGGAGAGGAAGGTGTGGTAGGAGGAAGGGAGACGAGGGGAAGCAGGGGTGACATGGTAGAGGAGGAAAGGAGTGGGTAGGAAGAGAGAGAGTCAGCAGCAGGGGTGCCTATGAGCTTGCAGGAAACGACCTTCTCCTTTTGACCGAATCGGATGGGGGCTGAGCGATTGTACTGCTGGATGAAGCTGGAAGGGAAGAGGTGGGGGAAACGACTATGAGGGTGAGAGTCAGCAGAAGGGGCGCCAATCAGCTTGCAAGCAACGGCCTTCTCCTTCTGACCAAAGCGGATGGGGGCTGAGCGATTGTACTGCTGAATGAAGCTGACGGGAAGAGGAAGGCGGGGTGGACGGGGGAAACCGGGAGGAGGGAATGAGGAGTGGGTAGGCGGGGAGGGAGGGGGAAAGAAAGGAGAGAGAGAATCAGCAGCAGGGGCGCCAATCAGCTTGCAGGAAACAGCCTTCTCCTTCTGACCGAATCGGATGGGGGCTGAGCGATTGTACTGCTGGATGAACCTGATAAAGATAAGGGGTGGAGGTGGGAAGTGATAGGGGAGCGAGTGTCAGTGGCAGCAGGGGCGCCAATCAGCATGCAAGAAAAGGCCTTCTCCTTCTGGCCAAAGCAAATGGGGGCTGAGTGATTGTACTGCTGGATGAACCTGATGGGGGGGGAAGGGGGAAACGGGGGGCTGGAGGGGGTTGGGAAGGAAGGGAGGAAAAGCGGAGGTGAAAGAAGTAAGACAGGAGGGGAGCGGGGAATTGAAGAGATAATTGGTGAAGAGAAAAAAAGGGTCACCCCATGTGATACTGTCCCGTGCCGCATTGAAACCATCTAGAGGTTTATCAGACACCTTTCTTTCTGCACCTGTCAAAAACGTGACACCATCATTTGATGTGTTCCCTTCTCAAAAGTTTATCCTGTAAACCTGCTGCTAAAACGCCATGCCACCACAGCAGAGCACGCACACAGGAGCATTCTCCACACCATCTTGCACCACATCAAACCCACTGGCATACCTCTCAGCCGCTGCCATATCTGTGTAAAGCCCACCCGGGCACTCCCAGTGCACAAGGGGCCGCAGACACCAGCAGCCAGCAGATACTAGAGGAGATTTCGGCCTGCATGGGAGTTGATTACTGCATGCTACCAGCAGCCTACCACCACGCACACACCAACCGCATTGCACCGCGCTCAACACATTTTCGCACCTCTGAGCCGCTGCCATATCTGTAAACGCCACCACAGCACTCCCAGTGCACACCGGGTCGCGCGTGCTAGAAGAAGATTTGGTCTCATGGGTATTACTACATGCTACCACCAGACCCACTCCAACCACCTTACACCGCACGGGGTCGCGCATGCTAGAAGAGGTCCCGGTCTCCATGGGAAATATTTTCACATGCTACCACCACACCCACACCGACTGCCTTGCACTGCACTCAATTCATTTGCACCGCACGGAATCCATTGGCATACCTTTGAGCCGCTGCCATATCTGTGAAGCCCACCACGGCACTTCCAGTGCACACCGGGTCGCGAGTGCTAGAAGAGGATTCAGTCTTCAAGGCTATTACTTTCACCGCACTAAACCTTATTGCATACCTCTGGGCCGCTGCCATGTCTGTAAAGCCCACCACGGCACTTCCAGTGCACACCGGGTCACGAGTGCTAGAAGAGGATTCAGTCTTCATGGTAGGGATTATTTTCACATGCTACCACCACACCCAGAACAACTCCCTTCCACCGCATAATACCCGTTTGCACCGCACTGAACCCTTTTCATACCTTTGAGCCGCTGCCATATCCTTAAAGCCCACCACAGCACTCCCAGTGCACACCGGGTCACGAGTGCTAGAGGATCCAGTCTCCATGGGAATTATTTTCAGCAGCCCAAGCTGCCCGTTCCACGCTGCCCGCAGGTCCCTGCCAATCTTTTTCTTCTTGGGCAGCCCGGAGACTCGGACTTTTATGGCTGATGGTGGAAGTTCAGATTCTGAAGAAATGAAGAATGTGGGTGGTTCGGGGGAAGGAAGAGGGGAGGAGGAGGACGGGGAGGGGGTGGAGGGGTGGATATAGGGGACGGAGAAAGGGAGAGAGAAAGGGAGAGGGAGAGGGAGAGGGGAAGGGAGAGGGATGAGAAAGGTTTAGATAGAGCTGGTCGATTGACGGAAGGCTGCAAATGGAAAACTCAGCATCTAACCAGCAGCACGGAGACACGGACTTTTATGGCTGTCGGTGGAAATTGCCAGTCTGGGAATTTCAAAAAGATGGGAGTGTGTGAGGAGGGGGATGAAGGTAAAAGGGGGAGAAGGGTGGGGGGTTGGAGGGGGAAGGGGAGAAGAGGGGGATGTTACTGAGGAGGGAAAAAGCGGGAGGGAGAGGGAGAAGCTTGGATACAGCTGATTGATTGTTGAAAGGTTGCCCGATGATAAACCCTGCAGCTAAACCAGCAGCCCAAGCCAGCCAGGACCACCAAACCCTCACAAGCCCTAAACCCTTAGCTTCACTGGTTCTCGAGATGAAAACTCTCGAATCCTTAAAGCCCAAGCTCGACGCTCTCAATCGTCCCAGCTGCATCGAATGAATGAAACTTACGAGGCTAACCCCAAACCCCGACGAACACCCAAGAGGCTAAACCCTGAACCCCGACCAACACCCAAGAGGTTAAACCCTAAAACCGACCGAGTCTCAAGGGGTTAAACCCCGAACCCGACCAACACCCAAGAGGCTCGACCAAGACCCAAGGGGATAAACCCCGAATCCGACCAACACCCAAGATGATAACCCCCGAACCCTTGCGTTAGTAGACCAACAGCACATTCACCTTCTTAAATCCCTAATCCTTTCCGTTTACCTTTTTTCTGGGGGGGTTGGTGGAAGGCGAAGGAGCAATAGTCGCCAAACCTCCTACGAAAACGGTTTAACAAAGCCATTCTAAAAGGAAAAAATTCTCACCTGTGTTGGCCTTTTTCACTTTCGCAGGCGCGTCAAATGCCCCTGCTTGACTGCTCCTCCCCCCCTTCTCTCCTTGCGCCTCCCCCTTCCTCTCACCCGCTTTCTTCCCCGCGCTTCCTCCCTGCTTGTTCCCCCCACCCGCTTGCGTTTCCTTCTCCCTCTGCTGTTCCTTTTCTTCTATCTCCGCTAAGAGCTGATCCTCTAACGACGTGTCGTACTGCTTCGAAGGATCGATAAACCCCTTGGGTTTCGTCGCCAGCCACCGCTGCATTTCCTCGATGCTTCCGAACTCCAAGTCGTTGTCATCCGATTGGTAGTTCGTTTCCTTCTTCTGCCCGCTTTTTTTTGCCCCTTTCTTCGCCTGCCCGCGCAACGGCTTTTCCGAAGCGCTATTACGCGCTACGACCGGGGAAGGTACATCCGAGGAGGCTGTTATCGAGGACGGCCTTATCGAGGACGCTTGTATCGAGCCAGCCCGGCATACAGCCGGCAACGCCACCGCATTTCCGGCAAATCTTCCGGTAATAAAAAGAGAGGAGACGACCGAGCATCCATGCGCAAACGAGACGGACGACTGCCAACGAGAATTTCTAGCGACGCACGACGAACGGGGTTGATACGCGGAGCGAGAGGGACCTGCACTTGTGGTAGGGTAATGGCTTGGCACACTCCAGCTGTGAGGCGCCTCAAATTTGAACACACTCGGCAGATTGACAGCTTTAATCGAAGCACCTAATACGGTGGTCACTGACGTCATGCTGACACAGGTCAGCGAAGGCCGAGAGTATTAATAGCACTGAAACGAAAACGCGTTCACCAGAGTCGCGACTTTTTATTCTCTCCCTATTTCTTAAACCAGAACTCGAAATCGCGTGCTTTAGGCTCTCTTGGACAGAACAAGCTACAGTATCTAATGCGGAAACTTCAGAGTCAGGACTTGGAATAGAGTGGGTAAACTCTAGTGGGTTTCTCCTATTGATTCTCAAAACAGAACGAGAACAAACACAAACACGAGCGAAAGGCGCTTCTTCTCTTCAGTGCCCTCCCCAAGAGAACTCGTCTGTGAAACGTAACGGTGGCGAAAGCTCGTTCACCTCGCAACCTCTTCGCACACCCGCTTCGTTACGGATTGCGGAAATGTCAATGTCTGTTATGCGTGCAACTGAGTTGTCAAGTGTATATAGTTTATAAAAAATCATACGTCTGATAAATAACCCCCACCAATTCTCCCCTGAAGTACTCCAATTTCCAATAGAGATTGCGTGGGTCAATATTTTGAGGATGCAGGACAATGCTGAACATACACTAGTTAATCACAAACACGCTTACATAGCTCTGACACTGCAGCAGCCCCTGATTCACTAGCAGCATCTTAGCTTCCTCCTCAACATACCTTATCGGAGATAGAGCCTCAACTCAACCATTGATCATGATCTTTATGCCTTTCTTGACGCAATCCTTCCCGACAGTGCTCATGATGAACATCCCCCTCCACGGGATCTTCTTATTCGCCTTTCTCACCATAACAGAGATAGAGCCTCAACTTAACCAAATATCATAACGCTCATGCCTTTCTTGGCGCAATCCTTCCCAACAGTGCTCATGAGAAACACCCCCCTACACGGGATCTTCTTATTCGCCTTCCTCGCAGTCTTCACGAGGATCTTGGTAGCTTTCGAGACGTCGCAGCTAGAGAGCGCACTCGGGCTATCTGCCTCTGCGACGTTGTGTTTGGGTCCAAAGAGGGAGCCCAGGTCGCTGGAGCCCCACTTGAAGACTGCAGAGGGGGGAGGGAGGACGAAGTGAGTGAGACGCGCAAAGCAAACATGCTTCTTGAGATGAGACATTGCATAAGTCGTTCATATCATCTGCCTCTGCGATGTTGTGTTTGGGTCCAAAGAGGGAGCCCAGGCCGCTAGAGCCCCACTTGAGTGAGAGATGAGATGCGCAAAGCAGACATGTTTTTTGAGACATCTCAGGTAAGCCATTCAGATCATCTGTCTCCGCCACGTTGTGCTTGGGTCCCGTATAGGAGCCCAGGCCGCTGGAGCCCCACTTTAAGACTGCAGAGGGGAGGGAGGAAGAGATGAGATGCACAAAAAAATGACTTGCGTCAAAGGAACGAGACAAAGATACAGGGGTGTGGGTGAGTGCCCTGCTGCATGTAGACAAGCAGCGTACTAGTGACGGTGGCAGACGATCGCTTAGAGCGCAACAGCGAGACAGGGTCAAGAGGAGAGAAGGAGAGTCGTATAACAAAACAAAACAAGATCGACATGTTAAGAAAGGAGCCTCGTGGAGTGCGGTGTAGCTCGATATGTGACACACGGTGTGACAAACCTAGCACATCAGTATACCCGCAACTTTGAGGCGCCTGCATGGTAGCACGAACCTAGCACATCGGTAATAACACTGACCTAGCACATCGTGGACACCTTAAGTCGGCTGTTTCCAATCCTTAACGCCCGGCCACCCTTCTTGCTGCCGATCACTACCGTCGCCGCATGCTGCATGGAACAGGGGGAGAGGAGGGCAATGAGTGACGTTGAGAGCAGCTTGAGCCCTTCTTGCCGCGAATCACTACCGTCGCCGCATGCTGCTGCGTTGTGACTGCGTGACACTGAGTTAGAGTCAAGGGTGATGCTTGAAGGGGGAAGGGGAGGAGGGGGGGAGGAGGGAGGGACGGAGAGACGATCAGTACTAAGCCGTTGTGACTGGGTGACATTGAGCTATCAAGGGGTGACGTTTGAGCCTCCTGAGAATTCTCTTGCCGCCAATCATTACCGCCAATCATTACCGCCAATCAATACCGCCTAATCGAGCTTGGTTGAAGCTTACCGAGACTGCAGGGCGAGCACCAACGAGGGTGACGAGGTCGACGCACGCAACAAAGCACGAAACAAAGCACACAGCAAAGCACGCGACACACCAAGGGGGGAGCTTATTGCACAACGAGCTTACCGCGACTGCAGGGCGAGATCCGCCCGGAAGCTCCAACGAGAAGCCTGCACACATGGGTGACGGGATTTTTCAAGCAAGCAACACAAATGAGTTGACTTTTGAGTCCACTCAATGGCGACTGCAGGGCGAGTTGCGCCCGGAAGCTCCAACGAGAAGCATGCACACATGGGTGACGGGACGGGATCGAACGGGATCAAAGCACGCGACACAGGATGAGGCGCCTCAGAGACGGGATGGGATCGAAGAAAGCTGCACACAAGATCGCATCAGTTCAGAACGCGACAGCAGCAAACATCACTAATGATGCCGCGCCTATACCGTTCGAACATCGCATAAGTGACTTAAGGCTTCAAACCGACGCGTACCTGCCAACAGCAGCAGCAGCACCACGCACAGGCAGAGAGAGAGAGTGTCTTTGGATTGAATAGTCTACACAGGCGATTGCAATGCTCCTGTGTCTCTAGTAGCTGAAAGAACCGTCTGAGCTTCTAAGGGAGAGGCTCGCCCCATTAATTGTAGTACTGCTGGTGCCTTGATTCGTTGGCGAGGCACGCAGCCTAACAACCTAACAACCACGCGTCGTCGACACGACGACACCCATTCCATTCCATTCCAAACCATCCCGCGTCGTCGAAACGTAAATGAATTTCGCGGCCGGAGGAAGAAAGTCGGAGCCGGAGCCACGCGTCGCGGCAGACATTGCTCGATTCCGTCTACTGATGGGTGGGTCTGGGCTCGAGTCGGCAATGGCGATATGGCGAGCTCGGATCGGACGGTCCACGACCAGGGTGAGCGGATCGACGCACGGCATCGACGGTTGCGCTGGGTGGTCGTTAGAAGCGGCTGGGGAGGACCGTACAAGGACAATTGGCGGCTGGCTGCCGTGGCATGCCATGACTAGGTCGACGCGTGATGGAATGAGAAGGAATAGATATTGTCAAGGGTGTTGCGTTGGTGGAATTGACGTGGCGTGGTTGGGACTGGGACTTTTGTTCGCCTTTGAAGGCCATCCAAAGTTTGACCAAGTGCAACTGTAGACGCCAGAATGTCAAATAGTGAATCAATTTGCATTTCTTTATTGAGTTTACCATAAGTCACACCTAGGCCTTATTATTGGTCTAAGGCACTCTGAGCCATCATGTTGGAGTATGAAGGGAATTGAGTTTAACATTCCCGAAGGTGCAGCTATATCGCACTTGTCACTATTGAAGCAGCACTAGCAGCAGTATCGGATCAGCCCGTATCAAGGGCAGGAAGGTCAACAGTCGCAAGGGTCAACTGCAATTGTCAACGTATCCAACGCCTTCCTTTACGCGATCGTCGACGCCATCATCTACGTCGAACAACCGCATGAGTTCGAAGAGGATGGCAACGCCATCTGCCTCCTCCAGAAGTCCCTCCACGGGATCAAACAGGCCCCGCGTCTGTGGCAGCAGTACCTCCACACCGTACTGCTCGATCTCGGCTTCTAGCAGCTTCTCCACGACCAAGGGATGTACCTGTCAGAATGTGATGTTTGTCTAGCCTGCAGTGGGGTACTCTATAGCGAGTACAGCCCGAATTAGGGTTTGCTATATGTACTCAACTGCCTGCTAGTAAAAACCCTCTTTCCTGTTTCTAATTCCTGCCTAGCTTACTATTTTGACATGCTATCAGAGCGGTTACGCTCCTGGCCTGTGGGCCCACCGTTAGCTTCCGCTGCTGTCCTGTCTGTCGCACACCCCATGGCGCGCGACGGATTTTTCTTCCCGCCACGCGCTCGGGGCGCATGGCGGTTTTCTGCCCGCCGCGCGCTCGGGGCGCGCGGCGGTTTTCTGCCCGCCGTGCGCCCCGGGGAGCGCGGTGATTTTCTGCCCCGTCGGTCCGCGCGTCGCCCCCCGGGAGCCCGTCGCGTCGCCCCGCAGGCCCGCGCGTCGCCCCCACTACCCCGTCGCGACGCCCTGGGAGCCGCGCGCGACCCCCGCTATCCCGTCGCGACGCCCTAAGGAGCCGCGCGCGACCCCGCTACCCCGTCGCGACGCCCTGGGGAGCCGCGCGCGACCCTGCTGCCCCGTCGCGACACCCTCGGGAGCCGCGCGCGGCCCCCCGCTGCCCCGTCGCGGCGCCCTGGGGAGCCGCCCCCCCCCCCCCCCCCCCGCTGCCCCGTCTAGGCGCCCTGGGGAGCCGCGAGCCCTCCCCTGAGCTGCTCCCCGCGCACCGCCCCCCGCTGCTGCCTGTGTTAGGGTTTGGGGGTGGCGAGTGTGGGGGTGGCGAGTATGGGGGTGACGGGTGTGTGCGCCGTCCCCTGCTCCTCCTCCTCCTCCGTCTCCC